TTGGCGAATTGGAGGGCTGGGTTGATGTGGCCTTGAGCGCAGAATGTTACCAGCAGGACGCGGCGGCGGCGGCGGCCACCGGAATTCTCCATGGAAGTTGGTTCTTGAGAGATGTGGAATGTGAGGTGGATAAAACGAGTTGCTGTGGCAAAGATTTTGGATGAAAATATCACATGACGACATGACGTTTGCTCTTACGCATTTAATCAAAGGCTTGAACCCACCATTTTTGTTTCATTGTGATTTGTATCTTTTTCCCTTTTTCTTTCCTTTTTGAGAAATTATCTGTAGATATTATGTTTCCATATTTTTGGATATAGTAGATTCTAAATTTTACAAAAAATAGACCTACTTCTGAAATTAATTTAAGTTGAAACTCAGTTGGTGGATTCTGATTCTTGCTGGATCAATCCTCCTAGATATATACTTTTGCCCTTTCTCTTTTGCCTTTGCACAACACACATTAAATTGATTTATGTAACGTTGAATCCACCCGTAGCTGGTCCCCTTCTTCCCGTGGATTGTAATCGACTCCCCACACATAACCACCTTATTTCAAGCACTCCAAACTGCCCACATCATTGTCAAGAACAAATCAAAATCTGCTCTTCCTAAGTTAACTTTACACCACCATAACAAGTCATGGAGATTAGAAACAGATTTTTGCCGATCCAACTTTGGATTTAAGACTTAAAAAAGAAAAAAAAAAAAGAATATATTTTTAAGACTATGAAGAACCCATAAGTTTCAAGATTACATTTTATTATTTTATTTTGCCCTTTATTCCAATTCTAATATATGTTCTCAACCGTGTGTTTTTAAATAACTTAATCCAAGGCTCCTAAAACTCAAAATTCAAATTTACAAACCACACTGAAGAAATATTTCAAGACATCAATTAAAAGTTGAACTACTTTACAAACCACACATGAAAATTTTAGAAAAATCCACAAAATTTGAAGTAACCAAATAAAGAGTTTCGAAAATGAGAAAACTCAAGTGATTGTGTGTAAGCTCCCCATATATGATATGCTTTAATTTTAAAAACACAGAGAAATTACTAATTTCTTAGGGTGACCATCATTGGATTTGAACACATTCCTTCCTAATTAATCCTAGTTCTTTTGGACCAATGAGACACCCGAATGTGAAAAATTCATAAATGACAAAATATACCAGTTGGAATGTGAAATTCATAAGGTCTCTGTTAGATAAAATATACGAGTTGGAAAAGGAATGTGAATTTTTGAAATTTATAAAGTATCTGAAAAGAAGAAATATATATAATATGACTTTTCGCGACAATCATAAATATGGTTTGAAAAACAATTATGATCTTTTGTGACAGTTAAAAATCATGACATTTCATGACAGTTAAAGAATGTTGTAAATGATCTGCAAATGTTTAAAAACAATTATGACATTTCGTGACATTAATAAAATGTCATAAAACAGGTAAATTATCGTAAATCTTTGTTTTTTTCCGCCAAAATTGCACCTCCACCATCTCATGATAATTTTTCACTGTCATTGAATAAAAAATAATTTAGTTTTCGTGACAGTTTAACTGTCATAAAATTTTAAAAATCCGAAGTAGTGGTAGTGGACCTAATATTTATTATAGATAAAAATAATTATTGAGTGGGTTAGTTGTATATAAAAAAAAGTGATGAATGGGATATTCTCTAAAAAAATTGGGATAATATTATAAAAAATTATACTATTTTATTACCACGTGCAATATGCACATTTTTATTTTTAAAAAATTTATTTTATTATATAATATATCTAATATGATTGTTATTCATTTCAGAGTAAATTATAACACTAGAATATGTTTAAATTTTATAATAAATTATGTATACATTGCAAATAACAAATTTTTCTTATTGTAAATTTTCTTTCAATAATATAATTAATATATAAGTATACAATATCAATCCTATCAATCATTAATTAATCTAATATAATTTATATTTTATTAAAATTAAAATTAATTTACATATTTCTAATTTAAATCAAAATAACGACTTAAAATTCAAAATTGTATTAAAAAAAATAATAATAACAAGCATTCAAAAGATTGATAATGTACTTTAACTAAGATTAAAATATACAAACTCAAACATGCATACAAATTTAAAATAATAAAATAATTTGAAAATTAACTATAAAATAATATAAAAATAATAGCTAGTAGGTAAGAAAGAAGAAAATCAATGTGCACGTAATTTTAAAAAATAGATTTATAGATCGCTAAACAACAATGGATGATGTTCAACTATTAATCTTAGAAATCGAAAAATAAGAAATCTAAAAAGAAAAAAGACCAAATAAAAAAGTAGCTCCAAATTGTGATAGAAAATAAGTCATTTTATAGTCACACAGGGAATGAAAGAGTTACAAAACTCCTAAGATTCCAAAACTCTTAGACATTCAAAAATTAAATATAATTAAGGGTTATAATTCTTAAATTAATTTAGGTAAGTATTGGAGATATATATATTTGACACGTGTATCCATTGCAACTTGATGTATATTCATCTCTTGTAACTCTCGATGAATATGCCACCAAAATCTCAAGAAGTTTCCAAGATTGAATAATCTTTGACAGATGTTTTGAGAGAAGTAAGGATAAAGTAGTGAAACTGTTGTGAAAAATATGGTGGAAGAAGTCTATTCTTATAGTAGTAGAGGATAAGACGTTACAAAAGCTTTTGAAATTCTAAAATTCTTGAAATTTCTAGTATGAATTATAATTAAAGAAAAAATTAATTTCATGCTGTAGGAAAACTTTTTCATTCGAACCTTTTAAATTCTATGCATTTATTAGTATTGATAATTAATAATTAATAATTAATTTAATATTTATAATAATATATTATTGACTTAGTTTGTAAATTAGTAAAATTAGTAAGGGACAAAAATGTCTAAAAATATTTTTCCTACACCCTCACTTTTTAATATAGTATAGATTAAACACTATTAAATGATGATGGAAAAAACTCTTTACATTTTTAACATTTATGCAAAATTAAATGGAATTGAAATAGAATTTTAAAAGGCAAAAAAAGAAAAATCAAAAATCAAAAAATAATAAAAAAAATCAAATAAAATTCAATGCATAACCAACCCACGAAATTGGAAAAGAATTTTATATTTAAACCATAAAATTTAAAAGTTTCAGACAAAAAAAATTAGAAAGAGATGAAAGAAAAAAAAAAGACAATGAATTAAAAAGAAAATATATCTAAAAAAAGAGAGAAAATAAAATAAAAGAAAACAAAAAAATTAGAAAGAAAGGAACTTGGATGAGCGGGGAGAGAGAATCAAAGGTCAACAGGAGAGAGAAAATTAGAATTAAACGAAGGATAAATGAGTGGGAGAGAGGAGAGAGATACACGAAAAAAAATGGGAGAGAAACATAAATGGATGAAAGGATAGCTTTGGTATTATTAAAAATAGCAAGGTTAATATAGTTAAAGAATAAATGAAGGGCATGCATTGTATTAAGTAAAAAAATGAAGGGTAATATTGTCTAAAAAAATGTTTCTTCTGCATCCATACTTTTTAATATATTATAGATTATAAATATAGATTATGGATTATAGAGACATATCACTGCTACATATATGAGCTTCAATGACAGTTTAAAATTGTCATTAATCAAGCTCGTGACAGTTATATAACTACTGTCATGGATTAAGACATCAAGAAAAGAGAGATCATGACAACTTTCGAAAAATTGTCATTAATGATTTATGAGAAAAATAAGTTTGAAAAAAATAGTGAGAAATGGGAGAATGTGAATTGGTGGGAAGAAAGGAAATTAAAACTTTACATTTAATTTTGAGAAAGAAAATGTGTAATTTTTTAGAGAGAGAGTAATAGAGAGAGATGGAGGAATGTGAATGTGTGGTGTAATTTTCAAGAGCGAGATGGAGGAATGTGGATGTGTGGTATAATTTTAGAGAGTGAGGGAGAAAATAGTGTAATTTTAGAGGGACAAATGATAACATTGTCATCAAATTATATACAAAAAGTTTAAAATTAAAGGGCAAAATAGGGAGATAAAGTTTTCTCGATTGTGCCTTTTATATATAGTATAGATATAGATATAGATTTATGACAGGTATTCTAAAAAACGGCATAAATATTTGTCATTGTCGTAAATCTGGTTTTTTTTAAGGAGTCATTTTCCATTTCAATTTTATGCATTTCACATATAAAAGCATATATAGAAAGAAAGAAGTGTAAACCAAGAAGTTATATATCCATAAATAAAGTATTCACAAATCATAATATACTGAGCATTGACACATGATGAAGGTAGAATTCCGACTAGGGTACATGTCATCATTAAGTCAATAATTAGTCACGTGCATGATGCGTGAATCCCATGGGGGTAGATTCGAGAGTAAGTTAAAAAAGATGAACTACAAACTATCGAGTTAAATCAACTAACCGCCAACCGCATCTCCATCGTAATGCGTATTTCACGTCCTAGAATCTTGGAAGCAAGCGTAAATTTGAATTTCAAGAATTGAATGAAAGAGGTAGGCAAACATTTCTAATTGAGATTTTGCACTATTGAATCCTGTATTGATAAAACCTTGGGAGTACTAACTTCTTTTTTGTAGGATCCATCTTCATCTTCGAGTGTTCTGGAAGATCTTAGAGTTTTTATAGAATTTTTGGTTAAAACAATATATAAATAAAAGAACTATATTCACATATACATCACACCCGAATCGAGGGGGAAGACGAAGGGTTTCGACCGTTTGGGGTGATTTTATAGGGGAGAAATAATCTCCAAATTTCCCATTTCAAGTCTTAATTAAGTCTCAAACTAAAAGGCTGATTGAGTCCGTGTTTCTGTGGATGCAACATGCTCGTCGACTCTTCATTGGACGAGAATTGGGACTCTAATCCAAGATCATGAGATGGAAAGCGCTTTTCTCCTTATCTCGTTGTTTGGAGGTGCGTCTCTCTCAAATTGTGTGCAATTAATTAGGAGGCGTTGCGCCTCGTAATTCGAGCAGGTTTTAGCCATGTTTTCTTCTCACCGACTGCCTTGAAGCTGTGAACCTTTTATCGTAAGAGATCGATTTGATCACTGAAATACGTTGGTTACATAAATCTTTGAGAGAGATAAAGTTCCTTCATTTGCATAGGGATTTTAATGACGTGGCGCATAATCTAGAGAAATATGTCATCCATACAAACTGCAACTTTTTGTGGACTGTGTCCGACCTGGGCTTCTAAAAATGATGGTGCAGAGCCCACGAGGCAAATTTCCATTAATTAAAAAAAAAACATAAAAGTAAAAACTAAATAATTTAAGTCAAGACTCCAAAAAATTTCAAAATTTGAATTCACAGAATAATAAGATATAAATTAAAAGTTTAAGTAGCCTAACCTTAAAATGTGGGGCATTACAAAGTGACGGATATAGGAAATTGATTAAAGCTCAATCAACCATAACAAAATTTCATAATAATTGTAATGAAATAAAAAAATTTAACTATCATTAAATCAAAATAAAATTTTTAGTTTTCGTGACAGTTCTTAACATACCTTCACCATTTCGTGACAATTTTTTACTGTCATTGAATAAAATAAATTCAAGTTTTCGTGACATAAAATTTTAAAAATTCAGAAAATAGAATTTTTTTCCACAAAAAACACACCCAATAATTTGTGACAGCTTTTTTCCCAAACATTTTTATTGTTCAAAACCGTCCTAGAAACCAAATTTTCTAGTAGTGTGTATATATATAATTTGATATATATGTAAAAATTTGGAAGCATAAAATCGGAATACCTAAAATATCAAAAAGCATATTTCAAATATTTTGTATTTGCAAAATCCAAAAATTGTTACTTATTTGCAAATATGACAAATATTTTGAGTTTTTCGACTAAATAACCATTTTATCAATACAATATTGATTTTTACCAACTTTTTTAAAATGCGTATTTTCTAATCTTGCTGATATCATCTTGATACCAAATGACCTTCACTGCCCTCTACTAATTTTTTAGATTTGCCTCCATTTTTTCTCTCTATCTGCCTCTCTTTTTTTTTCCATAATTTTTTTTATTTTTCTCATTTTCGATTAATCCATTATTTCTTTGTTTTCTCTACCTTCTTTTCTTCTATTTTTTCATTCTTCTCTATTTCTCTCTTTCCGCAACTATGAGTCTTTTTCTCTTTTAGTTTTCTTCTTTTCACTTTTTTTCTTCCACCAAATATTAGAGGAGAAGAAGGGAAGAAGAGAAGGATAAGAGGGAGGGGAGATAAAAAAAGAAAAAAATTACGCATAAGATAAAAATAACATAAAATTATTTAATATTACCGAGTCATTTGAAATTTGCCAACTAAATTATGCCATGTAACGTTGTTGCCCCAATTTGGGACTGAAAGACATGACCAATATGAGCTCGAGGTTTCCTTCGTAAGTCATGGAAGAGCGTAAGTTAGTG